GAGGATAAACCTCTTTGCTGTATAGAATAAAAAAGAGATTACATAAGAGTCAACCAATTCCTGAAGGCTTATTAAAATACAACATTTGGCATTTAGCATGACACAGCACTGAGGAAATGTTTGCAATTTAGACAAATTCTTACTTTTTACAGACCTGAGATTAGAGACTCTTAAATTGTACTCCAAGCATAACAGAAAGCTCTGAGCACGCTGAACTTCATCAGTACGGACCTACCATTATAATGTAAACTGATATCGTCAGTGCTGTTGCAGTCAGTAAATTCTGCTCCTGCCACTTTAGATAAATTTTACCCAAATTAACATGATTTCTATGTGGTTTTAACTTACCTTTGGGAGGCCTCATAATTAGTCTCAGCTGGTAGCACTTAATGGCAGGCAACCTGAACTCCAGCAGCTGCTTTGCTTGTTCAGCCTTGGACAAGAACCTTAATTAGCAGCGAGGTTTTAGGTGCAGTTTCCCGCTGCTGACCGTTTCCCCCTTACTCTCCTCTTGAATGTTTTTGGGCTTTGAGACTGCAGTTCCCGTTGTGATCCAGAGGAAGAGACTTGGGTGCCAGAGCACAGTACATTTTCATAGGGCAATAGCTAAGTCATACTTAGAGTAGACCCACTGAAATCAGTGAGTCTCTTCTGAATATGGTTATTGATGGGAGTAACCCATTAGCTTTGTAAAGTCAAACAGATCCTGTGGTTTCAAGAAACCTAGAGGTAATAGGACTTGGAAGGGGCTAGGTGCAATTTTAGTAACAAATTTGGCATATAACAACATTTAGTATTTACTGCAGAGCAAGTGTGACATAATGGTTGGAGGACCAGGCACAGACTGTAGAGACCCCAGTTCAAATCCTTGATTGGACCATGACAGTCACGGAGTGTCAGGGATTGGGTTCAAGAGGGCGAGATGGAGGAGGAGGAATGGTAGAGATCACCCACACACTTCTCCTGGCACTGCAGGAGAAGAGGGAGACAGCCTTGATTGACAGCAGGGCTTCGGGGGGGTTGAGGAAAGTCACAGCTCAGAGAGAGAGATGAACAGAAAAGTTGAGAAGTGTTAGAAGAAAGTGGGGAGAATTGCGGTTGGGCAGCCGCATGACACGTTGTCACTGGAAAGTATTTCTGATCCCCCTTCTCCCAGAACGTGATGTTTGTTAAGAATGCAGGAATGAAGGACTCAAAGACATTTGACCACGAGTGGCCACTGTAAGGGAAGATGTTGTTACTAGGGAAGAGGAGGGAGGAGCCCAGATTGGAGCAACGCCATTGTTAAGGCTTGTTGCGTTCTTTTGTCTCTCGCTTATTAGGATTGAATAAAACTCAATAAAAAGGACTCTACCTTGTTTTCTCTGCTCTTGCTGCAGCCAGAGGAGGATAAGCTTTCCCAAAGCCTTGACAGCCTTGACACTGGGTGACCTTAAACCACCACCACCCTCTCTTGTTCTCTTTTTCACCTCAGGTCGTTGGGATGATACAATGGGATGGGTTATATCCATCCATGTATGCCAACCTGAGGACCTCGGAGGACAGGTGGGATATTATAAAGTGAGGAAAACATTTGTATAGTGCTTTTTTGAATAGTCAAAGTCTTTTCACATCCAATAGTTTAGAGCTGGATATAGCAGCACTGACCAATGCTTTATGTTGCCTCACATTATGAACAAATATACCAGTCAAAAGAAATGCACACTTTTTGCTGCCTTCCTTGACCTATCAGCAGCTTTCGACTCAGTTAACCACAACAGATTGTGGGAGAAACTCTCAAATGCCAGTATAGACGATTATTATTAATTCGGGAAGTATATCGTGGCACTGAAGCAAGAGTTAGAGCGGGTGCGAGAGGATGCCTGTTGGAAGCGTTCAAGACATCAAAAGGTGTGAAACAAGGCTGCATACTAGCCCCTACACTTTTTGACATAAATAGTCATCCAGATGATAGATTACAAAACCCCATCATCCCTGGTCATTGGGGCTGATGAGAGCTGGCGTCCAACAACTTCTGAAGAGACACAAGTTCCCCATTTCATGGCATAAATTAGCTATATAGGCATAAAGGCCTATATAGGAGCAGCCCCAGCCATGTCATCATTCCCTTATCCATTTCCCTTTTTACAGGCTTGCAGAAATGGCAGCCTAACGTATGCCTGCCCAAGCCAACAATAGGAACATTGTTTTAAAAATAGACGGCTCTCTAAACGTTTAAGGCATGCTCCAAACATATTTAAAATCCAGATGCTGTGGCTTGATGAGAGTGGTATGTATAAACTTTCAAGCTTGGAGTAATCCTCATTATTAGGAGTCATTTCCCGCCCTGATCACGGGGTTTCAAAAGTGCAACTTGAAGGCATTTGGGACTAATTGGCTGCTTCATGATAGAGACTGTTTCTACCAGGCATTTCAAAGGATATATCCCTGAATTACAAAAAAATGGGGGGGGCAAAAAACACTAGCAGACTGCAGGAAAGAGTCTAATCTCCTTGGGATCGGGGTTTTCGCTTGCTGGAAAACAAAGAGCATTACAATGAAGAGATCTGCATTTGGAACAACATAAAAATCTCCCTGTGAAATGAAAACAGCCATCTTGTGCTAAACTGAAAAAAAGTGAGAATTCTGTATGAGGAAGGGAAGACCATGGCCAAAGTCATTATGCTGTGTGTGGGAAACCTCCAGCCTTCCAGATGTTGCTGAACTTGTTGTTGTTGTTTAGTCGTGTCCAACTCTTCGTGAATCCATGGACCAGAGCACACCAGGCACTCCTGTCTTCCACTGCCTTCCGCAGTTTGGTCAAACTCATGCTGGTAGCTTCGAGAACACTGTCCAACCATCTCGTCCTCGGTCGTCCCCTTCTCCTTGTGCCCTCAATCTTTCCCAACATCAGGGTCTTTTCCAGGGAGTCTTCTCTTCTCATGAGGTGGCCAAAGTATTGGAGTCTCAGCTTCACAATCTGTCCTTCCAGTGAGCACTCAGGGCTGATTTCCTTAAGAATGCAACATCTGTAGTCTCCGCATTTTTCCTTTATAAAGCCCAGTGCCCAGAATCTGTTTGGCACACTGCTTTGTGAGGAGGTGGCTACAGCTCCCAAGATTCTTTCAAGGGTGGAGAACGGCTTTTAAAAGTATGGTGTATGCACAACTTTTGAAAGATATGCAAGCACAGGAGGTCTGAATACAAATGGGTGGTCTAGGCATATGGGACTCCGAGATGGGCAAGCTGCAGGGCAGTCTCTCTGGATGTTGCAAACCCAATAATAAGGCCATGATTTGGGATGTCAACCATAAAGGGCTTAGTCCTCGTGCTATTTTACCCGAAGGGATATACGGTAATAGGAATTTATCGTTTATGCAAAAGCAGCATCCTGCTCGTTATCCGCAGAGACTCTCGTTGCATATTTGCTCCCTGAAGTAATCATAACCAGATGTGGGGAAAGGCTGTGGTTTAAATCAGGCATCTTCTGCGTCCCCCTGGACCCAATCACACCCATGTCTCTGTGTCTGTGCTATATGACAAAATATCACTGTTTCCACAGTTCACTGACGTATGGTCCAAGTTGGCTGTCACATGCATTTTTATCATCTGATTTCAGCCCATCTGCATTTGTCGTAACATATTTTTATTTTTTTCCAGCCACACGAGTTTTAAGATATATCGGGGGCTGGGGGTGTCCACATATGAACGATGTGCTCCCAGACCTGTTTTATAGAGAAAAGGAAGCCATGTCTGAAAGAAGCCCTGAACTGAAAGCCATAGAATAGGACAGTAGCATATGTTCTGAAAAATCCTCAGCGAGTCGTCTCAGTATTGAGGCCTGCATGAGCCTTGCTAGGTGGAGACATCACCTGATCCGGCAGGTGTATTATGTGCAAGCTCCATGTTAGAGGCAATGTGCCACAGAGTATCAGCAGCCCTCGAGGAACCATCATTTGGGTTCCATGATGGGAGAAAATTGGGTTAGACATGTAAGGCATTAAATCTTCTTGTCTGGGACACCTAACTTATTACTCTTTCAAAGTCTGATGGGAAAGCAGCTGTGGTTCTCAACCTGTGTGTCCCCAGATGTTGTTGAACTACAACTGCTATCACCCCTAGCTAGCAAGGCCAGAGCTCAGGGATGATGGGAGTTGTAGTCCAGCATCTGGGGACCCACAGGTTGAGAACCACTGCTCTATAGAGTGCCATTATCCACTGTCCTCCTTCATCAGCTGTGGTGTGATGGTCCCCAGAAGGGTTTGGCAGCAAGTGAAAGACAGATAACAGGACTAGAGAAGAAGAGTTTCCTCTCCTCTCATTTCTGTTTCAGTAGCATCCCAAAGATGCTTGAACATGCTCATTCTCCCCCACCCACCAACACCTGAAGAGCCCTAACCTAGTTGGGTCTGTTCTGAATGGCTAGATCTTGGATGTGGCCTTTCCAGGGTCTATTGCCTGCTGTTATTCCACTGGCAAATAATGAGTCCTGGCAAGCGAAACAAATTATGAAGACTTTGCAGACATGTTCCAGCCAGGCATAAACATTCAAGGAGAGCACAAAGCAATGCTGGTGAGGGGCGTGGCCCGTGAGAAGTCGGTGTGGCCTCAGAAGAGTCTCGAGGGGCAGAGAGGTCTGTGATGCCACAAGGCTCCTTGGGGTTGGCTTGTTTCTTGCTGCAACAGAGCAGCACAACTAGCGTAGCTAGCTGGGGGGTGGGACACACTGGGTGCTTGGCGGGCTGTTGGGCAGCACAGTGGCTGCTGGGCATTGTGGGGTGGGCTTTCAAGCAGCAGGGAAGCTGGAGGTCAGCGCTGGGCGTGTTGGTCATTGCAGGAGGTGGAGCCACTGCCCATCTCTCAAAAAGCCAGCTACAGAATTTTGGCAGCTCCTCTAAATAAAGCTCAACTTTGGTCCGCACCAGGCATCGGTGGGGGTTCCTATGCCACTTCAAGTACCCTTCAGGGAATTCATTTCCAGCAGAAGGCACCGTTGCCATTAGTGAGAAGGCCGACAGTTTGTAACATAAATGTTTTTATTTTCTGCTAAAATATTTGTTTTGTTTTAGTTCAGTATTCTACTGATATTTCCGTACTTTAATATAAAAATAATAATAATAATAGGAAGAGGCAGAATTACTTTTTTTTCAACTATTGGCACCATTACGGAAAGCTTAAAGGATGCGACGATCGGAACGGAAATATGTCAAAAAGCTATTAAAATGTACGTTTCCTGCAAGCGGGTGGGGAACGAAAGTCAGGATAAAGTCTCTGTTCACTGAGAAACGTGGCATGGTGCTTGGCCGTAATTTTCATAGCAGTGGCCGTTATTCAGTTATGCATCTCCAATGCTGACCATCGAACACTGCTGTTGAATGGAGCCGCTGAAACACAATCAGAACCACAATGTGGAAATGACACAGTGCAGGTTTCTGCCCCAAAGGAGGCCTGGTGAAGACAGTCTACTCCTGTGGCTCCAGGACAAAAGAAGGGGCAGGGGGAGCAGGTTTAACATAACTTCTGGCAAGACTTCACAATTCTATAAACCTTTCCCACAAGGATTAAGACATTCAGAAACGAGTCCTCTGTGCGGCATTTGTCATGGTTAACGTTTTAAAGCTAGACTTAATGTGAGTGGTTTATTGAAGAGGAATCGACATTTAACAGGCCTACTCCAATAGGTACGGGTAGCTCTTGGTATAATCTCTTTGTATAATCCTTCTTTTCCATACTGCCAGCAAGGGTTTTAACAGGTTGAGGGGGTGGGAGGGTGAACTCTTAACGGGTAACACAACCTCCCCCTTGCTCAGATTAATTACAAAATGCAGAAAATGTTATGCCATGTTTGCTCCAACCTTCTTTTGCCCACTTGGCTAAACTTGCAAATCATCTTGTCTTCCCTTTTGAAATTTTGACTGTTAACCCTCACAGTTCCCAAGTCATGTATACATTTGGCCCTTTTGTTTTTCAAACCCAGGAAATGTCAGGATCTGAGTGTCTGTGTGACTGTGACCCAGTTCAGACGATTTCACCGACTCCCAAATATAGACGCCGAGCGTGGTAGGAGAACTAAAATGCACCCTCCGGCTCAGATCTCAGTGGCACAAACGACTGAATCACAGTTTCTCCCCAGCCTGGAATGATATACACTTGGGGCCTGCACATACTGAATTTCAGAAGCATAAGCCCTATGTAAATAATGTGCAGCAAGCTGGGGCATCTCACCAGTGTGCCTGGTGAGAGGGCATATAAGGCACAATCTCACTCCTTCACTGCACGTAGCTTTTGCCTACAGAGAAGGTAATCTGACCCAACCCTGTGTCACTGTTTCCATTCCAGACCTCTGCGGTGACCTACCCTTGGTTTACGCATAGAAGACAATGCATGAACGCATCAAGTCCCTCTGCTGAAAAGAATGGGGCAACTTGAATATTGCATGGGTTCAGAGCACATAAACAGATTCAGTTGACTATGGAAAAACAGTGGCTCTGGCACCTGCTAACCGTGTCACATTTGCCTCTTTTTTTTTTCAAAAAAGAAAAAAAAAACCACTCTCATAGAAATGGTCCACAGATATTTGTGAGGATAATATACCAAAAAATAAAATAAAAAATTCTGTGTGTCTATACTCCTACAAATACAAGGGGCCAGAAAACACAAGAAGAAGATAAAACTAATCTGGACTACAACATGGTCTCATAGTAAACAATAGAATACAACGTGCAATAGTGCAATTTCTTCTTTGCTGCTCCAACAAGGCAAGTCTTTTAATTTATAGAAGTCCATGGACTGTTATTATTTTTTTCCTGACACGTGACATTTTTGCATCTAGTTGTGCCTTTGTCGCGGGTTGGTGCTTCTGCTGGATTTTTGAGCAGAATCGCTTTGTCCAGGTTCGTTTCTGCCCTTCCCAGGATGGCGGAGTTTCTGATCCCAGCGCTGAAAAATAAGAACAAACAAAGGTCTATTTTTAAAAAAATAGCTACAAAGCTCATGGAGGAGGTCCTGATGCAGGTTTCGCCTCCTTCTAAGAGTTTGCTCGAGCTTGATCCCTCCCTCTTTTTCAATAAACTCTGTTTTATTGCTGTATCCTTTACAATGGCGTATCATTCCTATTAATATTTTGATCTCCAAGGAAACATACATGCCTATTTTTAGAAATGTTGGCCGCCTCCATGCATTGCTATGTCAGCATTTACGTCAATACTAGTTCTACCAAATAATGTCCGACTTTCCCTTTAAAATCAAAATTCTATAGTAAAACAAAAGAGGAATAATTCCTTGCCAAAACAACTGCAGCTGCATTTGCCCTCTCCCCTCAAAAAAATATGTGCTGCTTCTCATCTTTTGAATAAAAACAATTCAGACTATGCTTAAATGCTAACAAAAAAACCTTTTATATCTCTGTGTGAAGGTGAACTGCTTTGATATTTCATTTTTTATTAAAAGGGACATCCCAGTGAGAATATGTCTATCTAGTGTCTCTCTCGTTAGAATTCCTACTCTTGAGTAGGACGAGCGCCTGACATTTCTGGTCTAGCACATGAAGTTTTGAATCCACATTGTAAAAGTGGAAGAGCAACCCTGTGGGTTCTTAGTACTGAAACAACTGTTTTAAAAACTGAGAATAGATCTCACCTATACTTTTGCTTATATAAACATAATAAGAGTGTATATTTTTATAGTTGCAGATGGGTGGGCGTCACATTCATCTTTTGCTGAAAATCTGCCCAGAATGATTCTCCACCAAGCAATTGGTTAATTAGCGACTATCACATAATGTTCTGGGTTTGCACATAACACTAAACCATAAGTTATTAAGCTATGCTTTGTTAAACTGGCTTAGTATGTTCCACTATGCTTTATTTGCTACCAAGAAGCCACAATCTGAAATCATGATTTGTTGTTGACTTTATAAACCTCGGTTTGCTTCAACTATGGCTTGGTGTTCTGGGTGAACATAGCACCCTTCCTTAATCATTGTTGACCACCTCACCTCAGATGCTCCCCACAACTGCAAAGGAATGAGGCAAGAGCCGCTGAAAAACAAAACAAACTGGGGAGAAATGAGTCAGGGTTTGTCTTGTGTTGCAGTTTGTGGGACAAATCATGCACTGAGAACTTTCCTTGTTATACTGAGTGGGCGAGGAAACACCATGAAGATATTTATCACCATGGTGAGTGTAATGTTTTGTCGGAATCTTAGTTTGGAAAAAGTTTGTGCTAAAACTGCCCCTGGATTTTTTATAGTATAAACATCCTTTGAGGAGGGATACTGTCGGGTAGGATAGGACTGAAAGAAGGGCAGTTGTTTGAGTTACAGTGGTACCTCAGGTTAAGTACTTAATTCGTTCCGGAGGTCCGTACTTAACCTGAAACTGTTCTTAACCTGAAGCACCACTTTAGCTAATGGGGCCTCCTGCTGCTGCCATGCCACCGGAGCCCGATTTCTGTTCTCATCCTGAAGCATAGTTCTTAACCTGAAGCACTATTTCTGGGTTAGCGGAGTCTTTAACCTGAAGCGTATGTAACCTGAGGTACCACTGTATTTGAAATATGTGTCCATTACCTATTCAGTGTAAGGTGGCTTACAAAAAAAGTGTGACATAATAAAAACAGCAATGTATACAAGAGATAACCATAAAATTAGCAACAAAATAATTTAAATGCAGCTGCAGTCAAATGCACCATAAAACATGCCAAAGTGACAATATTATAGATATGTAATAGATATAGATATTATAGATAGATATATATACATTCAGCCTTTTGTTTTATTTTCACTCTAAATTGGAACTCATCTTCACTTGGTTTGGCATGCTATCCATGGCCTCCAGATGTGAGTGGACTCCAGCTTCCATCAGCCCCCAGCTAGCACAGGGATAGAGGAGCTGGAGTCCGTTCCCGCCTCTGGTGTAATGCAAAACAACAGCAACAGCTGCAGTTTTAATTAACTGCATCAAGTTGGTTCCCACTATTTTGAACCAAAGGTGGCTTCTAATAATTGAAGAAGATGACAGTTTGAGATGCAAAAACAGAGGCAGTATTTTGTACTGTATGCTTCAGTCTGCATCTGACGAAGAAGAAGCAACAAAATGTGCAATGAAGACCACACACACCTTATAACAATCTGACCCAATACAAGACGAGTCATAATAAAAATGTAACTTTAAAATAAACAACTTATATCAATTAAAGTAGTATTTAAAAAAAGACCCAATCCATTACAATACAATAAAATTAAATATCAGCAAATAATGATGAAATAGAAATTCACTCTTAACAACTACAATGCATAATTACTAAACTATAATCTAAATAAATAAATAAATGTCTGTCATTAAGGTGCTACAAGGCTCCTTGTTCTTTTTGATGCAACAGCCTAACACAACGACACCTTTGGGTATTACCTCTTTGTTTGGCTAACTACTGTGTTTAAACCCCAAACCCTGCCCCAAATCTATTTTGGGGGTAGGGGGTGGTGGAAGAGGTAGCAATTCCGTTTTTGTTATATGCACCAGCCTATTCAAACCACAGCAAGTGGTCCAGCTCGGACTGAGGTCGTTGCATGATTTGTACACACAAGAATGTTTGTAAGATTAGCCCCAGGGGTGTTATTAGAAACACAAGAAAACAAGAAATAGGATACATCTATATGAATGAACGGTGCACAGACACACGATTCTTAAACATTGCCCTCTCCCCCTCCAGCATGCTTTCAATCAAGCAATCCCAGGCCACCTTAGCGATCGTATTAACTGTGCAAATGAACTGGCCAACACCAACGTGATGACTCAGCCAGAAAAGGGCCTTTAGTTTTATTTATTTTTTAAAAAAATAAAGCCTAAGTGAAGCCACCTGTGGAACCATTTGAGAAAACAGAGCAGAGAAAGCCGTCAAGTGATGTGAGTGCAACAGCCGGGCAAGACAGCGACCATAGTATGAGGGACAAACCACAACTTGTGGCTTCTAGGGCTGGGCGCCAAGACTATATGTTTTGACCCATCTCATGTTCACACTTGCCCTTCCGGTAACTGTCACTGTGGCTTTCTCTTCATGCATTTTCTGTCTTCCTGGATTCCTTCAAATTTTAATCTCTCTCCATATATATATATATTCTATCCTTCACCATGAGCTTGTTTTCTCCTGCTCTGGAAGGCAGGGCCCAAACCAATGGATTCAAGTTACAAGAAAGGAGATTCAGACTAAACATTCGGAAAATCTTTCTGCCCAGTATACCTGAAGGAGTGTCTCCACCCCCATCGTTCAGCCCAGACACTGAGCTCCAGTTCCGAGGGCCTTCTGGCAATTCCCTCACTGTGAAAAATGAGGTTACAGGGAACCAGGCAGAGGGTCTTCTCGGTAGTGGCGCCCGCCCTGTGGAACGCTGTCCCATCAGATGTCAAGGAAATAAACAACTATCTGACTTTTAGAAGACATCTGAAGGCAGCCCTGTTTAGGGAAGTTTAATTTCATGTTTGATGTTTTATCATGTTTTTACTATTCTGTTGGGAGCCATGTTTATCATGTTTTTACTATTCTGTTGGGAAACCCAGCCAAATGGGCGGGGTATAAATAATGAATTTGTAGTATTATTATTATTATTATTATTATTATTATTATTATTATTAAACAGTGGAACGGTCTCCCTGGGGAGGTGGTGGACTCTCCTTCCTTAGAGGTTTATAAGCAGAGGCTCGATGGCCATCTGTCAGGGATTTAGTGTTTGCGCAGGGTTTTTGTGTCAGAGTCATGTGGGTAGGTCCTTTATTTATATATTTATCAGTTGACAGCACAGGTGTCAAAAAAGGGGGGGGGAGATTCCAGCTATATCTGTCAGACAGAGTGGTCAACAATGGATGAAGGAACTAAGTGATGACAGTGTAATCCTGTCAGCCAAAATGGAGGGTGCTATCAGTCTCTGCTGCTGAGCAAACTTTAAAGTATATTTTCTTGCAAATTCCAGTTCCTCCACCTCCTGAGAATCTACCTGATGGAAATGACAGGACTGTCATTAGAACATTATCTCTCCTTGGGAGTTTATTTGCACTCCATCTCCAGCTGCTAGTCAGGAGAAGGCCACACCCAGGCTGACAGGACTCTTATTTTATTGGACTGGACTCTGTAGTCCCTTGTGGTCCACATATCTCTGTGACACGCAGACAGTAGCCTTTTGCACTCCTTGACCTTTGGGCCTCATTGGGGGGGGGACGACAACAACAAACAACAACATTTTGCTCTCCTCTTTGGACCTATATCTTCTAATCTATAGATTTGCTAGTTGTCAGAAAGGCAGTCGAGACTCATTGTTTTTCACCCAATGCTGGTTGCCTCCCTGTAAGCTCATCATTCCAGAAATCTTTTTTTTAATCTGCTGGCCCTCGCTAAAAGGCAAATGCAACACTACAGATTCATAGCTGAGATTGTTTGTTTTAAGAAGTTGCTAACCCCACATGCTGGGGTCAGGATACTGAACAGTTGGCTTCAGAGCAAGGATTTGGAGAATATGACATTAAATACAAAGTGCATATGAAAAGCCAGTAAGTTTGAATAATATTTTCAAGGTTCCAGATCAGTTTGGTTTTAGAGAAGCAATGGGTGCAGACACTAATGCATTTTAAAAGAAAGGTATCAAAGCAGGGTTGTGCAATGTATATATTCTGTTTGTGGTGAATGAACCTTGAGGTACTTTGGATGTGCTTTAACACACAAAGTTTGAGCTACAGAGCTCATATCATTTTATTCATGTTGCCAAGTCATTCAAAAAACGGGGACTTGAAGTTCCCGACTTAATGCTCTCCAAACCACTGAAGGGACAAACTGAGTAAACTCAATGAACTATTGTTTCATATTCTTGGCAGTGGCAAAAGAAACAGAAGAGCAAACACAATTGAGAGAAACCGATATGGGGCTTAAAGAACAGTGACAACTTGAACGGAGGCAGCAAAAGGATCTCTACATGGTCAGATATAACTAGCAGCAATGGATAGAAACCACTGGTAACCTGTTCACTGGTGTTGTATCCACTTTCAAATGGAGTTAACTGGGGTGGTATTGGCTATTAATCCACCTGGCCAAAAGCAGCAGTGGGTTTACTGCTGACAGTAACCAGAGACTTGTCCTCTTTAAAGAAATTCGTAATAATAATAACAATTTATTACTTATACCCCACCCATCTGACTGAGTCTCCCCAGCCACTCTGGGGGGCTCCCAACAGAATATTAAAAACACGATAAAACATTAAAAACTTCCCTAAACAGGGCTGCCTTCAGATGTCTTCTAAAAGTCAGATAGTTGATTATTTCCTTGACATCTGATGGGAGGGCATTCCACAGGGCAGGCGCCACCACCGAAAAGGCCCTCTGACTGGTTCCCTGTAACTTGGCTTCTCGCAGTGAGGGAACCGCCAGAAGGCCCTCAGAGCTGGACCTCAGTGTCCGGGCTGAACGATGGGGATGGAGACGCTCCTTCAGGTATACTGGGCCAAGGCCGTTTAGGGCTTTAAAGGTCAGCACCAACACTTTGAATTCTGCTCAGAAACGTATTGGAAGCCAATGTAGGTCTTTCAGGACCGGTGTTATATGGTCTCAATGGCCACTCCCAATCACCAGTAGAGCTGCTGCATTGGATATTAGACCCAATTGGCTATTTGAAGGGTCCAGAGGCTTCCTTGCATGCAAAGAAGCATACAAAGTCTCCCACAGAGCTGAGAGCATGGAGGGGACTGGAGGGGACAGGAAGTTCCAATATTGTGTGCACGGAACTTGCACTGGATACAGCATCACAGGAATCATTTCGTTACTTTCAAAAGAGCTTCTCTGGTCACCTGGCTGCTTCCTGGCGCAGTTCTGAGTGCTGGTGTTTTACTTCTAAAGCCCTAAATGACTCGGTGCCAAGCTGATTCTTCAATATCAACTTAACCATATTCTAACATCATCTGCAGAAGCCCTTCCCCTGGACACCTTCACTTCCAAAGCGAAGCATAAGGCGTGGGCTTTTTCAGCTGTGACACCCTGGTTATGGAATGTATGCCCTTCTGGGGGAGGGGGCCTTGCCTGGCACTAATATTGTTTTTCTTTTAAGCACCAGGCAAACAGCTATTTATGTGTCTGGGCTTATGAAATGCTTTTCACATTCTTTTAAGTTTCATTGACTAAACCTTTATCTGCTGACCTCATATCTCTCTTTTTCTCTCTCGCTCTCTTTTTATATATAAAAATGCATTAGTGGTGTGTTTTTTTGGGGGGTGTCATATTTAAATCTTGTAAACCACCCAGCAATAAAAGGGTGGTATAAAAAGTTTTAAAAGCTTTAAATAAATAAAGGCTGGATTATGATCAGAGAGATATTTGTGCACCCTGCTACCTTCCAAGGTGCTGTTGGAAGGCGAATGTTTTCTGTTGCAGATTCCAGGCTGCAAAAGTGCCTGTCTGTTATCTTGATGGCATTCCAATGCCGGCAAAAGGATATATTTGCTCCAGGATCCTTTTGCCTTGTGAAATCTTTTATTTGTCTAGTTCCCAAGCAAACAGAAACTTCTCCGGCTGACCTCAGGGGATGGGCAGAGTTGTTTTGGGGTAGGAGGGATGTGTGTTGTCTTTTAAGCATCCTATTTCTAAGCCATTTAGAGTTTAAAGGCGATTGTCAGGCTTATATTCAAACTGCTTTATTATATAAACAAGTAGTAATGTGCATTTTTTTATCATCATCATAGCAGGTGTAATCACAAAACACTGGTACTAATTTGATGATTTTCACATTTATTTTGAATGTTGACATGGTTTTTGGGCCTCAGTTTAGTCTTAAGTCATATTTCGTTTTATGGCACATGAATAAATATTAATATATTTGGGGGTGGAATCTCTTTACAGCAATCTTTGGCATGTTTACATGTTCATTTATACTTTTCAGAATAAAGAGTATGGTATGAGATTTGGGATCACTGAGAAGGAGAACTTCATTTGCTCTGGAAGTCTTCCCCGTGTGTTGATGAGTGATGCCAAAGGCTGGATCCCTCTGCAAGCTTAGGTCAAACATGATCAAACAAGTCATGAAACTTTGTCTTACCTTGACTTTTTTACCAAGTCGATCCTTCCATTTCTCAGCTATGGAGCCTTCTACCAAGAGCAACCTACACATTTACAGGAAAACAATGTCAACAATGCATCATAATATATGATATGATAAGATGACGTGATGTGATGTGATACACACACACAAGCATAATGAATATATTTAGGGACAAAGGGAATGCTTCATGTTCAAGAAGGGGAAAAAGCAACCTATGAAGACAGAGGTCACCAATATGATGCTTTCCCATCTATCCCTGCCAGCATGACCAATGGTAAGGAATTATAGCAGTTGTGGCCAACTATGGACTACCACTCAACTTCTGGTGTAGTGGTTAAGAGCGGTAGACTCGTAATCTGGTGAACCGGGTTCGATTCCCCGCTCCTCCACATGCAGCTGCTGGGTGACCTTGGGCTAGTCACACTTCTCTGAAGTCTCTCAGCCTCACTCACCTCACAGAGTGTTTGTTGTGGGGGAGGAAGGGAAAGGAAATTGTTAGCTGCTTTGAGACTCCTTAATGTAGTGACAAAGCGGGATATCAAATCCAAACTCTTCTTCTTCTTCAAACTCTTCTTCCCTGGTAATTGCCACCCTCACCCTTACCCCATACCGCTACATCCCTAGAAATGTTTTCTGGCAGCTCCATTACTCGCTGAGGGGAAGGTACTTATGTTACTTTCATTTCCACACTTTAAAGCCTTGCACAGTGCGTCAGGTAGCATCTTCTTCCATATGCATCAGCCTGATTACTGATACATCTTCAGATGAGGCCTTGTTCAGCATACTTAAAAGACCTTTGGAAGGCTAGTTCCCAATGTGCAATGGGACCTTTTATGTAGTGGTACAAACCGATGTAGCATCCCTCTTCAGGAAGGCCCCCCATAGGAAGCGGGGGAGAAAGAACAGTTACCTCGAGCGCTCTTCGTCTTCGTAACCCATGATGATGTATTCTTCGTTAGCACTGAGAGGTGGGCAGAGGCAGCCAGAGTTTGTGTACAGGTTTACAGTGTCCCTAGGAATGTTCACCAAGGAAGATTTTAGTATCTCCTTCACTTCCACTACTGCAGTGACATCGTGACATTTGGTCTTCACCTCCTTCACTTTAGCTCGAATGACTGGAGAAAAATAACAGAAAGAGGGATTAAGGTTACGGCAGCCAAAGCTGCATCAGCCTAAAGCTTTTTGAATATTTATATGCTTCTCCTCCTGAGCCCAATATTGTGTCCGCTTGTTTGTTTTAAATGGAAGTCTTATCGTCATGTTATGGTGCTATTTATTTTGTTATTGTGCTAATTATTATTCCACGCGGGGGCCCTGCAACACAGCGGCTTGTTTGTCTGTCTATATACTTCTTCATGTCCAAATCAGCTTCTATGGCAGCTTTTACTTTGTATACTTTTACGAAGTCTAAAAAAAACAACAGTTACACAAAATATAACCATCCGTAGTTACACTATCAAACAAACCAATTGAAACGCTGAAATGGATAAACACCCATAATCAAAACACACAATAAATCAGCCTCATTAAAATGAAAACACCATTAAAAAAGAGGTTGAGAGATCGAGGGAATGTCTCCAAAAGCTGGTGGATCGGCAATACAAGTAGAGCTTCTCGTGTTTTAGCAGGACGTGCATGCCATAAGCCCAGTGCTCCCTGTGGAAAAACCACCCCCCATTGCAACAAGAACATGTGGCAATGTTCTAACCACTCTCTTCCATGCTCGCTTTTGCCAGTTTCCTCCTCTCCCCATTCTGTGCCTAGTAATCCATCCTCGTTAGTCCTTTGGGGGTTCTCGCCCTCCATTTTGGAGGGATGGATGCACTAGTGCCCAATCCTGTCATGGCCTGGGGTCAGACTCCCCTTCTTCAAAGGATGAGGCCAGGGGTCTAGAATAGGACTGAGGGAATAGTACTCAGGCCCAGAAGCACTTAATCAACTGGAAGCATTTCCGCAAGCAAAACCCGTAGTGTTTCTGGCCTAAGACATCCCGCTGCCCTCCTCTGACTCAAAGATCAAGCCAGCAACCAGTGAGAGTTGCTCAGTCCATCAGTCCATCAGGAGAGTGTGGAGTTTAAGCTGGAAACTAAGAGTTGAATGGTCAGGTGGAGATGTGACTCTCAGTGAGGGAGAGGGACTGTCCATGTGTGTTTGGACTCTCTGAGTGGGGTTAGTTAGGACTACACTTTATGCTTCCTAACTTTCTTTCCAGAAGGGCTTTCTTTGAAGGAAAGCACAAAGTCCGGGGCCAAGTGCAGACCCCAGCTTTCCATCATGGCTTCTACTGTTACACAAAAGCTCCGACATGTCAATAGGAAAGGCAGAAGCTAAGAAAGTCAGCTCTCCATCAACCTTCCCTGTTGCTGCCTCTGAAATGCCTTGAGCTAACACAGCAGCTAGGAGAGGGTGGGAATGCATCTCTCCCATATTTCCATCAAGAACCATCTTTATAATCCTATAGGCAATGTAGTGTAGCGATTAGAATAAAGCGAGATGAGCGCCGCAACCCCAGAATCGGTCACGACTGGACCTAATGGTCAGGGGTCCCTTTACCTTTACCTAAGGTCCTAGGAGAACAGGGCTCAAATCCTCATTCGGCCATGAAGCCAGTCACTGGGTGACCTCATACCAGTCACTGCCTCTCAGCCTAACCTACCTCACAGAGTTGTTGTGCTTGGAGAACCACATTTGCCACCTTAAGCTGCTTGGAGAAGAAAGGTATGATATAATGACAGAGAGAGAGAGAGAGAGAGAGAGAGAGAGAGAGAGAGAGAGAAAGAAAGAAAGAAAGAAAGAAAGAAAGAAAGAAAGAATCTACTAGTTAAAACAATAATCTAATCTTCACATTCTATTCCAGGGGTCAGCAAACTTTTTTAGCAGAGGGCCAGTCCACTGTCCCTCAGACCATGTGGTGGGCCGGACTATATTTTTGGGGGGAAATGAACAAATTCCTATGCCTCACAAATAATCCAGAGATGCATTTTAAATAAAAGCACACATTCTACTCATGTAAAACACCAGGCAGGCCCCACAAATAACCCAGAGATGCATTTTAAATAAAAGGACACATTCTACTCATGTAAAAACACCAGACAGGCCCCACAAATAACCCAGAGATGCATTTTAAATAAAAGCACACATTCTACTCATGTAAAACACCAGGCAGGCCCCACAAATAACCCAGAGATGCATTTTAAATAAAAGCACACATTCTACTCATGTAAAACACCAGGCAGGCCCCACAAATAACCCAGAGATGCATTTTAAATAAAAGGACACATTCTACTCATGTAAAAACACGCTGATTCCCAGACCGTCTGTGGGCCAGATTGAGAAGGCGATTGGGCCACATCTGGCCCCCGGGCCTTAGTTTGCCTACCCCTGTTCTATTCTATGCATGGAAATGGAAGGGTGTGGGGAAGAGGAGCCATTTGACAGGCACTTAAAATTAATTCATTTTCCCCAGCAGCTCTGGCTGAGATCACTTGCCTCGTGAGGGTGTGGAGTGGCAAGGGCAAATGCCAAGGAAACCGCTTCTATCAACCGTTTCCTGCTTCCACTGAACCTTCTGCCCTACTTCAAAGGTAGCTGAAGGCTGCTGTGCTTACCGTAGTTGTAATTGTTCCGAAGATAAGTCTTCTGGGTTGCTTTTATTGGCTTGCATTTGCAGCGCTCTGGGGGAGAAACACAACAGAAATTCCTTGCATCAGAGGAAATAAACACTCAAAAGCCGTAAGCCGCACTATTCAATCTTTCCAGAACTTATTCATATATGCTGAAATGGTAGCAAGTCATTTGTAGTGGAAGCCCAGGCCCTGTTGGATTGTGTGAGTGCCAGCAACAACAGCTAACATTCCCTCTTCGAGAAAACTATTAAAGGTTCAGTATCCCCCCCCCCAAAAAAAAGAAAGTACAAACAAAAAACCAATTTATTCCTGAGCCTGAAGTTAATAAAACCAAAGCAGGCTGGGGCATGTCATTTTAGGGAGTGAAACTTATTTTTTGCAAATTTTGTTCACTGGGGAGTCTTAAAAATATGTTTTTGGGTGTGAAGAACTGGAATCTGCTATTATTTTTGTGACTGGACAACATTTAGCTTGGTAAGTCTATACTTGATGAAAGTACACATAAACTGGAAAACCACAGAATCTCAATTTTACCTTCTGGAAATGTCAGGTAATGCTAAACGACAATGGTTTATTTATTTTATTATGTATATATTAAACGTATATAACACCCTTCATCAAAAGATCTCACAAAATAAAATACAGGATTAAACAAAAGTAAATATTTAAACCGAAACAACAAGACAACTCCTCCCGCTTCCTACATAATAATTAGTAAACATAATATGAGTATATAAATATACCTGCAAATGGTTGACAATCGTTCTTAATGATTGCTATGCAATTTTTCGATTTTACACACATTTCACTAAATTATGTTAATTTAACCAAAATATATTTTGAATTCCCAGGTCATGCTATAACTTTTTAGCACCTGTCATTTTGGGAATTTGAAAGTTGAAAAATCCAGGCACCAATCTACATAACGCTACAGGTGCCTTGTATCTGCCCCACCTTTTATTTCTGGAGCACTTGGCCAGTGTAGGGAAGAGGGGTGTCATCAAACAGCTGGCAGGTTAGGATACAGGTATGAAGACTCTTTGTAGCTGGCCCTCTGGCTACCCAACCCCCAGGCCACATTCCTCACTGCCCCTGCTAAACACACACATCCTTTGGGGCTTTTTGCCTGGCTGGCGGGTGTTCTTGAATTCTGATAATGCTTCTTGTTTTCCTGGATGGAGGAATGAGAGGGGTTGACAAAGGAATGGGGCACATTGGTTTCTGGGCCTACATTTGCCTCAGGCCCTGCCCACCACTGGCACAAGAAAGGGGTTGGATAGCTCAGTTGGTTAGAGTGTGGTGCTGATGATGCCAAGGTTCAAGTTCAATTCCCTTATGGGACAGCTGCATATTAATAGATCAAAGAGCTTCTATGAATGGTTACAATTGGGGGAGATGGCTAAAATGTTTTGATTTGAAAGACAGTTTGATCTTTTAATCTACTCTTTGGCAATACCTGGTGGGTGCTTATTTTTACATGTTTTATTACAAATACTGCATGTGTGTGTTTTAAATTCTGTTTTATCATTTGCAAGGGGCTATTGGATTGTTCCTGTTTTTATTTTGTTTGTGTATTTTGTGTTTTTTATACTGTGATTTTATACCTGTGAACCAGTATAGGGCAGTATGTATACTTAATAATAAACAAATAACAAATAAATAAATATTCCTGCATTTCAGGGAGTTGGAGTGACTCTACAATTCTATAATCCCTAGTTTAGGGGAAGGAAACATGCAGAGAGGGAAAACTTACACTGGTGATCACCCAATATCTACTCCCACCCCCAAACTGATTTAGCAGATTTAGAAGAGTGTGACCAGTTCACCCGTATTGGAGGCTGAGCCAAGAGGGCGTTGCTGGGGTGCCAAAATAATGATGTAGAATGGAAGGCAAGGGGCAGGGGGCACCAAATTTTGGCACTGCACAGGGCACCGCTGAAATTTGAAAGCCCAAAGTCCGCCACTGCCTCCGACCAAATACCAATGGTGGAGAAAAGTGAAACCAAGGATTGATTGGCTCTGTAACATAGGCAGCCATCGGACCAAAAGCCTCCCTCTAGCTGCTTAGAAATTTTCACTTTCAACTATCAAATGGTTGCTGGTAAGGCTGCCCAGCAGGCAAATCTCCCCCGGTCAGCCAACTGGTGGTCTATACCAGAAAATAGCAAGGAAGAGAGGGAAGAGGAAGGACCCTGAGGAAGTAGAGAGTGGCTGAAGGCTGGAGGCAGGAGCAAGTCTAGCAGAAAAGAAAGAATAAACTATGGAGCAAGCAGGATTGCTGAGGGAGGGAGACGTCCTCAAGAGGCAGGAGGAGTTGGGCTATGTGTTAAGGCAGAAAATGGGGGCAATGGGTCAAAGTAAGGAAGAAGAGAGGAAGCAAAGGGCCTCAGAAAAGGTGGGAAATACATGCATTTTTTTAAATGTGAAAAGCAAGCACAACAAACACACATACATTTGCAGGAATGTGGCGGGGGGAGAATGGCCAACTGGAAGTGAGTATCAGGGAATATTGTAACTAGTGAGAGGATAAGAATGCCCACTGTGTTTTTCGCATGAATCTTCAAAAATTTGTATCTCAAATCGAAAGAGGCAAGGGGGCAGCTGTATTCCACCCTTTGTGACTGCCCTTCCATTTAACCACCAGCTGAAAGGTCAACCCCAAACTTCACTGAAAAGATGGGTTTGGGGCTAGGCCCCATCATGGGGGTGCTTGGGACGGGGGTGTGTGTCTCTAGGCGTAAGGTACAGCAAGGAATGATGGGTAGAGTCACGTGAGAGAGCAGGGGACCTCTGAGTGGCAGAGCAGGAATGGAAAAGATCACTATAAATACTCCTAAGAATATAATGGCTCTTTGGCTGCATAAAACTCGGGCAATGGAAGTATTTACACCCATCTAAAATATTATTTTTAAAAAAACAGAAATCTGGAGAATCTTTTAAGCAACTTTTTTTTTAAAAAAAAAGAAAGGCTTATGAAACAGACAAAAATGTCATTTCCTAGCCAAAGGAAGAGGGGTAATATTTATACATAAGGTTTTGCCAGCTGACGTTGCCAGGGATGAGACTTGACTTGATTAGATTTTGCACAGAGACATTATTCACCAGCGAAAATAACACACCAAAGAGAACCTCCAACTTTCTTTTGAAATGCTCAGCCCAGGGTTTTTTTCTTTAATCCTCACTGGAGGGCAGTGCTTAAAACGCAGAAGTAATAATACTCTTGTGTTCCTACACCACTTCTTAGAATAGCTCAAAGTGCTTCACATACATTTTTCTTATTGTTAATTCTTATATCCCCAGGATGGGGAATCTGGGGCCTTCAAGATGCGGTTGGACTACAACTCCCATCCTTCCTCACCACTGGCCATGCTGTCTGCGGCTGATGGGAGCTGGAGTCCTAAGAACGTCAGGAGGACACCAGGTACCCCATCTGTGCCTTATGAAAACCCTGCATGGCAGGCGAATTTCAGTTCTGGGGAACCTGTGGTCATCCAGATATTGTTGGATTCCGATGCCTATCAGCCTCTGCCAGCATGGTTCAATGTCAAGGATGATGGGAGTGCCGTGCAATAACAACTGGAGGGCCACAGGTTTCCTGTTCCTGGTGCAGATGATAATGAGCTGGGTGGACCAGTGGTCTGATTCGGTAAAAGGCAGAAGCATCCTTTGACCCTAACCTCAAGTGTCCTTGCATATCTTTATTCACTTCCAAACCAGATAAAAATAAGCTGTCAGGCTATTGATCTCTCTAACCCAGTAGAGTCGTACCTTGGATCCCAAATGCCTTGGTACTCGAACGTTTTGGCTCCCAAACGCTGCAGTGATTGTTCCAATTTGCAAACGTTCTTTTGGAACCCGGACGTCTGACGGGTTGCGAGGCTTCTGATTGGCTGCAGGAGCTTTCTGCTGCCAATCAGAAGCCGTGATTTGATTTTCGAATGTTTTGGAAGTCAAACCGACTCCCGGAACAGATTCCGTTCAACTTCCAAGGTACGACTGTGCTGACCATGAGTGTTGCTTGAGGAATTCCAACTTCTGTAAGTTCCTATACAAACTGGCCCCTTCCTAATGTGTGGGTCAGAACTTGATTCTACACCAGAATTTGCCCTTCCCGGTTGTTCTGAATACAGTTCTCAGATTTTAAAAAAAGCATTGAAATATACTTCACAGTTTGAGAGAAGATGCATTAGAAATATGTTTTTGAATTTGTATGCAGATTTTTTTTTTTAATTGACAGATTAACATAGGAACAGGACAGTACAGTGGTACCTCGGGTTAAGTACTTAATTCGTTCCGGAGGTCCGTTCTTAACCTGAAACTGTTCTTAACCTGAAGCACCACTTTAGCTATTGCCACCGCACTGCCGGAGCACGATTTCTGTTCTCATCCTGAAGCAAAGTTCTTAACCTGAAGCACTATTTCTGGGTTAGCGGAGTCTGTAACCTGAAGCATATGTAACTTGAGGTTCCACTGTACTGATTTGTGGGTGAGCATATAAGAAAGTAACACAAACATGAAATGAACTGCTTCCCCCATCTTGACGGTCCACTACTGTATACTATTAACAGTTATATGACTCCAGCAGAGACCCTTGCCAGCCCTGCCAAGGCATTCAATGTCACGCTAAGTAAAAGTACATGAGCAGGGCACTAGCTGAGCTTGTGTGGAAGTTAAATGCAGTATTCACTACAGAGCACAATTCAAAATTGCATTAAAAAAAACCACACATGGTAAAGTCTTGACTTGTTTGATTCCTTGTTTATTTGCAGGTGCAGGATGTGTTACTTCACAACTTCACAACGAGGGGAAGTCGTGCAGTAACGCGCCCCGCAACTGCAAATAAACAATGAATTAAACAAGCCAAGACTTTACCATGTGGTTTTTTTAATGCACTTTTTTAATTGTGTTCTATTGTGCAAAAGAAGGGCAGGAAACTAGAATGGCATTCATGGCCAGTGTGCAATAGATTACTGTAATACTAGTACTTCCTGTTGCACAACAAGCTTCTTCTAGTCAGTGGCGTAGCGTGGGTTGTCAGCACCCAGGGCAAGTAATTTGTGCCCCCTAACCCATGGATTTGCGCCCCCTAACCCACACCCGCACGCCTGGCACCCCCCACACACACAGTGGGCGGCGACCCGGCGGCTTGGATCGGATTCGCACAGCCAGCACTGCAGTGAGAGAGAGTGAGCCAGGTAGGGGCAGAGAGCTGCGAGTGCGAGCGCGCCCCCCCAGATGTTGCGCCCGGTGCGGCCGGCCCCCCCTGCACCCCCCACGCTACGCCACTGCTTCTAGTGCAACGGTTGCATCAGATTTCACACTGCACAACCATTATTCTTACCCTTCAGTAAAGGGACCCCTGACCATTAGGTCCAGTCGTGATCGACTCTGGGGTTGTGGCGCTCATCTCACTTTATTGGCCGAGGGAGTTGGTGTACAGCTTCCAGGTCATGTGGCCAGCATGACTCAGAGCAGCACAGCGAACCAGAGCAGTACACGGAAACGCCGTTTACCTTCCCACCGGACCAGTACCTATTTATCTATTTGCACTTTGACGTGCTTTCGAACTGCTAGGTTGGCAGGAGCAGGGACCAAGCAACGGGAGCTCACCCCGTCGTGGGGATTCGAACCGCCAGCCTTCTGATCGGCAAGTCCTAGGCTCAGTGGTTTAACCCACAGCGCCACCCGTGTCCCATTCTTACCCTTATGCTAGCACAATAGCCCTTTTGCTGGTGATAAGACAATGCTGAATCCAGGCCAGTGATTCCTTCATTGGGGGGGGGGGTTGGACTAGATGGCCCTTGGGGTCCCTTCCAACTCTACAGTTCTGTGATTCTATGATCCATTTACCTGGAGTTGCCAGGGATTGAACTGGGAGCATTTTGCACTGCCACTAAACTAAGTAAAAGACAAATTTATACATTTCTCCCTGCAGTGCTCTTGATGTGGGGGGATACCTTGTCCAAAATCACTGCAAAAAGGGGCAGGCTGGCAGAAAAGTAAGCTAGGCAAAAAAAAAAAGCAATGAAATAGCGGGAACAAAAAGGAAGGTGGCCGTCCACTTTGCAGAGGGACATTCTGTCACACACTACTGAATAAACACAGTGCTTGAGTTGCAGCCCCAAAAGGCCACAGGACCACCAACTTTATAAAAACTTTATAAAATGTGGTGGTGGTTGTTTTTTAATCATTTTTATTGATTTTCCAGTAAAAAACATCCGATTAATATATCCAACCATAATACTCCAATTTAAATTAAAAAACTAAAATAAAAAAGACCAAATTATAGTCCAAATTATAATTATTGATTTTTTGATGCTCCCCATGGTCTGGATCTTCACATCTCAGTCCTACTTCTCCTCGTTGTTTCCATATTTTCCAATGTTGTATGTTTTTTATACAATCAGGACAGTAGAATATATCCTGGTTTGGGGAAGGGGCACTGGACTTTGGCCCACAGCCACTCAGGCATGATGGAACAAGGAAGATAAGAGGAGGATTTACTGGCAGGGAAATGGAGGGTGAGCTCTGGTAGGTGCTGGAGAGAGAATGGCTTCAAAAACTTGAGACATCTTGATATTTCAAGATGAACTTGCTGTAAATGGAGATTAGCTTTAGGGAATCCCATACAGTACTGGATACTATCACTACTCTCCTTTACAATAGTTCCACAGGCAGGCTAAAACCCAGCTTTGTCCAAGAAAGAACCTAATTTCTAAAAAATGAACCTCAGGAAAAACACTTCAACTACAAGGTTTTAAAAGCTTCTTTACATCACTTCCATCACAGAAAGCAATTTGTATAATTTTACTCTTAGACGGGGCAAGGCACACAGCATAAAATACAACTTTCAAGGGAGTCCTGATGCCATTTCAGTAAAGGATAGTGTACGTATTTGAATGCTAAGCAATCCTAATACGGCAACCCCTAGCCCAAATTTGAGCAGAACCCAACTTTAACTCATACTTGCATTCGACCTCCACCTTGGCCTGCAGGGTGAGGGGGCTTCCATGGTCCTCTAAGAGGTCCCACAGGGCTTTCATCTGCAAACGATGCACAGGCGTAACTTCTGTGAGGAATAATGGAACTGCTCATCATCCCAGGCAAGAAATAACTATCTGTGCATCAATTGCCATGTGGCCTGTTTGTATCCATGCAAGTCCTCTGCCATCTATTGCCCTCCAAGCCTCCAGAGGTGTAGAAGATACTGATTAAGATGGACTCAGTATCAAGCACTTCCACTGTCCCACCCAGGGAAAGTATCACAGCACACATGTAGGCTCAACTGAACAGAGAGCCATGATTTGTGGACACCACCCATGTCTTCCCTCCCACATTTCAACGTCACATTGAGGCTTTTTCACACATTACACCGAACAGAAGTGGAAGTTGTCCTTCTGCACATCTGTACAAATAACCCTCACTCCCCAAGAGTGCTCTCAAGTTGATGGGGAAAGGGATTTTGTGTCGGGAGAGACATGGAGATTAGCCGTGTGGACAGTAGATTGCAGGACCCTGATAAAGCAAGAACTACCCATAAACCTCCATTCAGCAGCTGCATTTCATTAATGCCCTGGCTCTTTGACACATGAAGGATAGAGTTCACTTGCATTCAGCGCCTCTAAGGTTTTGCTGTTTTCTTAAATCTCCAGATATCTTTCTTGTTGCCTGTCTGGCTCTGTGGGCAGAAACAATCAAAGGACCATCCCCACCCCTCCAGCCATCATGTTGCTGTCGTGACATGATCACGACACATCATGGCATTAACACGTCACTGTCGTGCCACATCAAGACGCTATTGCATCACTGCATTGTTAAGATCTGCTCTCAAGACAGATAGCTCAATTGGTCGAGCATGAGACCCCTTAATCTCAGGGTTGTGGGTTCGAGTGCCACATTGGGTGAAGGATTCCTGCATTGCAGGGGGTTGGACCCTTGTGACCCCTTCCAAGGAAGAGGAGGAGGAGTTTGGACTTGATATCCCACCTTTCACTCCCTTTAAGGAGTCTCAAAGTGGCTAACAATCTCCTTTCCCTCCTCCCCCACAACTAACACTCTGTGAGGTGAGCGAGGCTGAGAGACTTCAGAGAAGTGTGACTGGCCCAAGGTCACCCAGCAGCTGCATGTGGAGGAGCGGAGACGCGAACCCGGTTCCCCAGATTACGAGTCCACCGCTCTTAACCACTACACCACACTGGCTCCCAACTCTACCATTCTATGATTTTATAAGAAAAAGAAGAAATGATTAGATAAAATGTACTCACCATTGCCGGCGCCTCTACAGTTGCCATTATTAGACTCCATAGGGAAATCTGGCATGAATTGTTAAATATGTAAAGAAATGTTAGTATTTTTAATATTGGATTATGTCAACACAGCCACATCAAAACGCTCCAATTTTAATACACTAAATATTAGAAAATAACGAATACTATATTAATGTGGGGGGAGGATGGAGGGGGCTCCCTATATGTAGACAATGGCTTAAAATCAGGGACCAAGCATATGATCCCAGGTCTCCTGGTGGCCAATGGAGTTGGCTGCACACTCAGAGCACTTTTGGGTGCTGCTATTGACAACTGGGCAGCCTAGCTTGTGTGCAGAGCTGGATCAGAGACATTCTTTTTAACAGAAGCAAGAAAAAGATGAGGTGTTAAAAAGCTGAAGCAAACCTACTTGTTTTTAAACACGTATCCGTGACTTATGGCAGTGGTGAGCATGCCCTCTATCTCCCACCACACACATGGAGAAATGCTTATGTAGGTAAGGTCAGTTCCAGCAGTCTGTCTACTCCTTTTTGGAAGCAGGTGACCAGGGCCTGTTTATTTCGGAATTTACACAGGTGAGCTTTGGCTCTCAACACCAGCGACAAAAAATCACAAAACAGTATTCAAAACCAACCAACCTAGGGCTATCAGCCAGCTAAAACATGTTCATTAATCAACTTTCATTTAAATGGTAAATCACCCCATCAAGTAAGTTTAAATATATCTGCATATCACAAAAATACAAGCGTCTTCTTTGAGATCCTGAAGTCTAAGTTGCCGTGTGCAGCACAATTAGTCAAAGGTTTCCTCTCATTGCTAGAAGAAAGGACCATTCTTGATATTTTCAGTTTCCTTTCCTATGACAACAGTACATCAGAACCAAAATAAACCAAAAAACAAACTTTGCTACCCTATTAGTTGAAATGTTCATTTACAATTAAAATTGCACACCAGTTGATCAAATAAAGCTTTTGTTGCACTGTCTGTTGGTCAGTGAATTAAATGTTGAAGCTGCACGTAACAAAATTGTTAACTTGTTGCAGGTTATCTGATATAAATGGGTAGAAGACACAATGCCACATTTCAATTTTTCCCCTAAAGTATTTCAGGAAGTATTCTGCTTAGGAAAAAGTATGCTACTTAATGTATTCCACATTTACAATGCAGCCACTGTTTACAGTGTTTCAGCATGTGAGATATAGATATATATTTTTACTATTATATCTACTAAGGGAGGAATTCAGTATTGTGCAATGGCGATCATTCTATCAGGACAAGAATTTCAAATTGCCAGCAAGAACAACCCCTCCTCTACTCTCCCCCATGCACTATTCTAGGGGTTCTCCTGAACTCCCCCAAGCCATTTGTGGGGGCACAAAGGGTTGAGAGGGGGGAAACCCAATTGCGCAAGCAGAGGTCCTTGCACAGGACTTCGGCTGACGGACTTGTTAGTTGAATTTTGCCCTAGATGTTTTGGAAAGTTGTTTCTTCACTATGCATTTGGACACCTAAAGAGCTCATCACCCAAATGTGTACACTGGTTCCTGAGATCAAGGAGCAAGTTTCCATCTAAGCTTGGATACAATTGGATACAATTGAAAGAAAAGAATTGACTGAACTTTTCCAGTGGCGGACCTTGGGGTCTCAAATTTAAGTGATGCCCCCTTGCCTCCCGCCTTCCATTCCACATCATAGTTGTGGTGCCCCCGAAGCTCTGCACCCAGTGTGACCGAACGGGTCATACTCCCTTAAATCTACCCCTGACTTTTCAAAAATGCACTGATTTTTCGTAGAATTCCCAAGCAATGAGGCTGCTTGAACATGTGTATGCGTGTATATTGCACTTTGCCTAAAACTCGGAATCAGCAGCCAGAGCATTAACTGCTACATTAGTAAAGACTGAGCATGAGAAAAGAAAAAAGTAGAGAGAAAAACAAAAGCATCACCGGATTCAGAAGTCTCAAGTGGCTCTCAAGGGCAGCGGCACTGCATCCTTTTTGAGCATCTGCTAGCCCAGTCCTCGCCGTCATCACTGCCGGGTGCACTCAGGTGGGGTGCTGAGCGTTCAGGGAGCCTGTGCTCCAGCCCAGCCCTCACCCACCGGAGCCAAGTGGGACTGTGCTGCACAGCCTGCTGGCCCACCCACCCACCCAGGGAGGAGTCCAGTTGGCCAATGTGGCTCTTGGTAGGTGAATCCCCCCCATCCCCAATGGGCGGTCATTCAGCAAGGGAGCTGGAGACGGGGCGGTGAGGCTAGGCCAGGCTCTGGGGCCCAGAGACTTGGAACAGGCAGGGTGGAACAGAGATCCCTGCATAGGGGCACCTAGCTTGTGCCCCCTAAAAATCGAGCACCCAAGGCTATGGCCCCCCTGGCCCTCCCCACGCTATGCCCCTGCTCAAGGGTTTCAGGTCTTGCCCAGCCCCACCTGGGGCTGGCAGGGTTTGAACCAAGGACCTTTTTGCACACAAAACATGCGCCATGATGCTGAGCTGTGCCCTCCTCAGGAAACTCATGAACCAACGATATGGTGGCCCCTAACCAATGTAAGCTGTATGATTATTATTTTTCTTCCTCCAGTCCTTTACCTCATAATGTAGCAGTAAATGCCAGACTCATGTAATGAGCCCCTGGGACTGTGGCCTCATCTGGCATCACACACTGCTCCCCCAGATTCTGCCAATGCTGAATGATACATCGGATGTGCCCATCAGGCTGACCAGGATTTGTGGCCAAAAATGCTTATACACTGATCTCCTTCCTCTAGGCACTTCAGCCTACATCTCAAGTGGAATGCGGGTGTCACTGTGGTCTAAACCACTGAGCCTCTTGGGCTTGCCTATCAGAAGGTCGGCGGTTCGAATCCCCATGATGGAGTGAGCTCCGATTGCTTTGTCCCAGCTCCTGCCAACGTAGCAGTTCAAAAGCACGCCAGTGCAAGTAGATAATTAGGTACTGCTGCGGCGGGAAGGTAAACGGCGTTTCCGTGCACTCTGGTTTCTGTCACGGTGTCCCGTTGCACCAGAAGCAGTTTAGTCATGCTGGCCACATGACCCAGAAAGCTGTCTGTGGAAAAACGCCAGCTCCCTTAGTCTGAAAGCGAAATGAGCGCCGCACCCCATAGTCCCCTTTGACTGGACTTAACCATCCAGGGGTCCTATACCTTTACCTTTCACCTTTACACCCCTGGTTACTCTGTGCAGACAACATTCTCAACTCCAGAAACCAGATCATCCAAATTAGCAACTAACTAGAATAGAAATGTTTTATTCTACTTTTAGAAGGCAGAATTATATTCCTTGGGGGAAAGTGGGTGGAGTGGGAGACAGAGAGAGATGACTTCTACATAGTGGCTGGCGTGTTTGTTTAATTTTTTTAATCAGAATTTAGAATGTCATCATGTTCCCATTCAGTGAAAGAAAGTCTTCATGGATTTCAGGCTGGAATCATTCAATGAAACTATTGTGCTCCTTCTGGTCCTTCGTAATAGGTAACTTTGGGGCAATTTGACAGAAAACGACTTCTCTGCGCTTTTGAATGCGACTGCTCTTAAATGGCTGCAGGCTCTGCCAAGGCTGGTTTCAGTGCAGATCTTGTTTTTCAGGAGCGCTGGGAAGCATCTCCACATGACGGGAGGAAGATGTTTGCAAAAACCTCAATATGAGACATTCACTAGCTCCCTCCTTGCTTGGGCACTCAAAACCACTTGCGCTGAAACCTTCCCAGCAGGTATCAGCCCAAGACAGCTGCAACAACAGTCTGTACTCTGTCTACAGACAGACCCGGGGAGTTAGGTTTAGAACGGCTGGAGCTTGAAGAGCAGATGTCAAAGTACAAGGCAAAGAGAGAAGGAGGAGTTGGAATTAGACTGAGGAGGGAGATGGGGACCAAGTAAAGCTACTCTGCTGAGCCAAAAGCAGAGAAACGGTGGACGTTTTGACAAATCAGCAATGACTGATGTTTTAAATGGGTCTGAATCCAACACTGCAGGATATCAGGGGTAGCAAACATGGTGGCCTTCTGACTGTTGCTGTTTTTATGGCTCTGTTCTATTGTTTCCATGTTTGTATTCATGCACACTACTTGGTGATTTTGAGGTTTATAAATGATTTTACATAAAATAAATACATAAAATCATCTTTAACCAATAGACAGGTTGGCTGGGGCTCAGGGAAATTGGTGCATAGCTGTCAACATTTCCCTTTTATTAAGGGAAATTCCCTTATTCCAAATAGGATTCCTCACAAGAAAAGGGAAAAGTTGACAGCTATGAATTGCTGTTGAACAACATCCAGAGGACACCTAGCTGGTTATCCCTGATATAAGCTATGCAAGAGCAAACTAGCGTGGAGCCAACAGGCATTTTGCACTTCAAGGGGGCAGAGAGCGAACTATCACAATGAAGGCATGAGCTGTAAAAGGACCAGCTGTAAAAGGACAACCCTCATCCACAACTTCTGCTTTTTTTGACTCTTCCCATCTGTGCTGCTCCTTTTCATCACCTGACCATATGAAGGCCCACATTATATGTGCTCATCCCATATACCTTCATGTGTCTATTCCACATGTCCCTGGGGCCTTTCAGAGCCCTGTATTTGCAAGATCTGCATGCAGTCTGGAAGGGCCCCCCCCCTTGATTAAGAAGATCTCTCATCCCTGTTGAATTAAGAAGCCTGTTTAAAAAAACAAAAACAAAACACCATGTACAGGTTTGGAAAATGGAAAAGATGAATATCTGAAGGCGGGCCCAAAATAGTTAACAGCCTTCTTTACTAGCTATGAAAAAGGCCAGATACACTGGACTGAGCCTGCAAAACTCAACAGATTTCTCAAAGCCTTACAGTGACAATCACTGTAAATATACGACCTCATTATTGCTTGACAATTAAAAAGGTTAATAATCTTTCCACCACAACAAAACTTGGTCAAATTAATCTGCATGTCTTCAACCCCATAATTTTTTATTGCCCACTTTTGTAATTTAATCCCAGTGCTTTCTTTTCCGGTGCCATCCTTCCACCATCTAGGGAGAACTTGTTTGCTGGAAGAGCCAGTGAAATCAAAGGATGCCAATGCTGCCACCACCAAAAGACAAGGAAGCAGAGGGTGAATGCCATTCCTTTGATAGAGAGGGACATCAAGATGGTTAATCCGATTGAATTGCATCTGATGGCAAGATCTTAGGAGACTGCTCTGCTGTGAGAGATCAGAGGGAAGCAAGAATTCTGCATGAGAGAAGTGAGCATTCTGCAAGAGATCAGAGGGAAGCGAGAATTCTGCATGAGAGAAGTGAGAATTCTACAAGAGATCAGAGGGAAGCGAGAATTCTGCATGAGAGAAGTGAGCATTCTGCAAGAGATCAGAGGGAAGCGAGAATTCTGCGTGAGAGAAGTGAGCATTCTGCAAGAGATCAGAGGGAAGCGAGAATTCTGCGTGAGAGAAGTGAGCATTCTGCAAGAGATCAGAGGGAAGCGAGAATTCTGCGTGAGAGAAGTGAGCATTCTGCAAGAGATCAGAGGGAAGCGAGAATTCTGTGTGAGAGAAGTGAGAATTCTGCAAGAGATCAGAGGGAAGCGAGAATTCTGCATGAGAGAAGTGAGAATTCTGCAAGAGATCAGAGGGAAGCGGGAATTCTGTGTGAGAGAAGTGAGAATTCTGCAAGAGATCAGAGGGAAGCGGGAATTCTGCGTGAGAGAAGTGAGCATTCTGCAAGAGATCAGAGGGAAGCGAGAATTCTGCGTGAGAGAAGTGAGCATTCTGCAAGAGATCAGAGGGAAGTGAGAATTCTGTGTGAGAGAAGTGAGAATTCTGCAAGAGATCAGAGGGAAGTGAGAATTCTGCATGAGAGAAGTGAGCATTCTGCAAGAGATCAGAGGGAAGTGAGAATTCTGCATGAGAGAAGTGAGCATTCTGCAAGAGATCAGAGGGAAGCAAGAATTCTGCATGAGAGAAATGAGAATTCTGCAAGAGATCAGAGGGAAGTGAGAATTCTGCGTGAGAGAAGTGAGCATTCTGCAAGAGATCAGAGGGAAGTGAGAATTCTGTGTGAGAGAAATGAGAATTCTGCAAGAGATCAGAGGGAAGCGAGAATTCTGGGTGAGAGAAGTGAGCATTCTGCAAGAGATCAGAGGGAAGCGAGAATTCTGCGTGAGAGAAGTGAGCATTCTGCAAGAGATCAGAGGGAAGTGAGAATTCTGTGTGAGAGAAGTGAGAATTCTGCAAGAGATCAGAGGGAAGTGAGAATTCTGTGTAAGAGAAGTGAGAATTCTGCAAGAGATCAGAGGGAAGTGAGAATTCTGCGTCAGAGAAGTGAGCATTCTGCAAGAGATCAGAGGGAAGCCAGAATTCTGCGTGAGAGAAATGAGAATTCTGCAAGAGATCAGAGGGAAGTGAGAATTCTGCTTGAGAGAAGTGAGCATTCTGCAAGAGATCAGAGGGAACCGAGAATTCTGTGTAAGAGAAGTGAGAATTCTGCAAGAGATCAGAGGGAAGCGAGAATTCTGTGTGAGAGAAGTGAGCATTCTGCAAGAGATCAGAGGGAAGCGAGAATTCTGCGTGAGAGAAGTGAGCATTCTGCAAGAGATCAGAGGGAAGCGAGAATTCTGTGTGAGAGAAGTGAGAATTCTGCAAGAGATCAGAGGGAAGCGAGAATTCTGCATGAGAGAAGTGAGAATTCTGCAAGAGATCAGAGGGAAGCGGGAATTCTGTGTGAGAGAAGTGAGAATTCTGCAAGAGATCAGAGGGAAGCGGGAATTCTGTGTGAGAGAAGTGAGAATTCTGCAAGAGATCAGAGGGAAGTGAGAATTCTGCATGAGAGAAGTGAGCATTCTGCAAGAGATCAGAGGGAAGCGAGAATTCTGCGTGAGAGAAGTGAGCATTCTGCAAGAGATCAGAGGGAAGTGAGAATTCTGTGTGAGAGAAGTGAGCATTCTGCAAGAGATCAGAGGGAAGCGAGAATTCTGCATGAGAGAAGTGAGCATTCTGCAAGAGATCAGAGGGAAGCGAGAATTCTGCGTGAGAGAAATGAGAATTCTGCAAGAGATCAGAGGGAAGTGAGAATTCTGCGTGAGAGAAGTGAGCATTCTGCAAGAGATCAGAGGGAAGTGAGAATTCTGTGTGAGAGAAATGAGAATTCTGCAAGAGATCAGAGGGAAGCGAGAATTCTGGGTGAGAGAAGTGAGCATTCTGCAAGAGATCAGAGGGAAGCGAGAATTCTGCGTGAGAGAAGTGAGAATTCTGCAAGAGATCAGAGGGAAGTGAGAATTCTGCGTGAGAGAAGTGAGCATTCTGCAAGAGATCAGAGGGAAGCCAGAATTCTGTGTGAGAATTCTGCAAGAGATCAGAGGGAAGTGAGAATTCTGCATGAGAGAAGTGAGAATTCTGCAAGAGATCAGAGGGAAGTGAGAATTCTGTGTGAGAGAAGTGAGAATTCTGCAAGAGATCAGAGGGAAGTGAGAATTCTTGCCCATCCCATTGCTACTGTTCCTGCCATAGTAACACAACGGTCATGCCTGTCAATGTCTGCTCTTGCGGCATCAACATCACAGCCACCAAGTGCAGGAAGTTATACAGAAAAGTGAGACTGGGTTGCATGAAGAAGAAGTTTCCTTCCTTTGGGACAATCCTGTCTCTGGGTCTTCACAGTGCAACTCACGGGGCTTCTGCCCTGAGCCACATTGTGCTAGTGGGAAATAAAGTCATCTCGATTTACGCAGCAGTTGTGGGAGGATGGAGATTAGAACCTTCCCAGGTGATTTGCTCCCCAAATTAACTGCGCAGATACATCCTTGAGTTTAGCACTTTGGTTACAGGAAATTTACGTGATTTCCCCTAGAAATCCAACAGGACTTCCCTCTCAGCTAGCACATCAATGGCAATACTAGATTTTACTTTACTTAATTGTTGAATTCCTATCAAGCTATTTTTCCAAGGAGCTCAGCACAGTGCCCCTTTTAGAATCACAACAACCCTGTAAGAAGATAGCTGACAGATAGTGATTGGTCCATGGACACCACGTGGTTGAGCGGTCCTAATCTGACACTCTGACCATTTCACCATACTGGCTCTCAGCAGGAGAAGTTGCATAGGTTTATTTGATGCCTACTTGTTTGATAGTACTCATAGCGCAATTTCTTATAAGCAGCACAACTCCTTGTTCCACAAAATAGCACTTACTCCTCTCCCCTATAGCAATGTTTGACCTTTTTAAAACAACAACACCATTTTCCCTGTTTTGTTTCTTTGCTTAATTCTGCAAATTACTTCCCCATTTCCAGCACTGGTCTTTAATAAAATTAATAATAATAATAATAATAATAATAATAATAATAATAATTTCCCCCTGAAGTAAGGCTACAGGTCTCTCCTTCCCACAATGTATAAAAAGGGGATGGGGTTTCATGCCAGTGAGATGCTAACAAAAATAAACTATTCTAGGATTTTGCCACCATTAGCTCAAGGGTCAAACAAGATGTTGCATGAAACTTGCACAATTCAACCCCAGCCACCTTTTCTTTTTCTTTACAATCAGTCCTGCTTGGAATGGTGAGAAGCAGAGAAATCACAAGGGGGGAGGGAGAGTACTTAACCCCTTCCTGCACGCCCTCACCATATTTCTGTTTCAAATTACCCCTCCCCAAACTGTTTTTTGTTTGTTTGTTTTGCCCCTGGCGGGGTTCGAAAAGGCTTCTGGGGAGCATTATATGTATTTATAGTTAACATCCGTTTCAGCCCTCTAAGCAGTAGGTTAATAATTGGTGGTGAAAAGCCACCTTTGGATTCCATAGACATTCTGTTTTGAGTCTATCTAACAGTCTGTGAGGGATGCGGGTGGTGCTGTGGGTAAAACCTCAGCGCCTAGGACTTGCTGATCGCATGGTCGGTGGTTCGAATCCCCGCGGCGGGGTGCGCTCCCGTCATTCGGTCCCAGCGCCTGCCAACCTAGCAGTTCAAAAGCACCCCCAAGTGCAAGTGGATAAATAGGTACCGCTTACCAGCGGGAAGGTAAACGGCATTCCGTGTGCTGCGCTGGCTCGCCAGATGCAGCTTACCACACTGGCCACGTGACCCGGAAGTGTCTGCGGACAGTGCTGGCTCTCGGCCTCTAGAGTGAGATGAGCGCACAACCCTAGAGTCTGGCAAGACTGGCCCGTACGGGCAGGGGTACCTTTACCTTTACCTTAACAGTCTGTGAGCTTAGATCCTCAATGATTTCCTGAGTTTAGGAAAGGATTTGAGACTAGAGAAAACAGCAGGAAGGGGCGAGCTGGGAACGGAACGTGACAAAATATGGAAGTGCTGTGACTTCTTGGGTGCAACCACTTCAACCTGCAAACAGAAGCAGTCTTTGGGAATTCTTGTAATCTGGGAATTTTAGACATGTGTGGTGGGGCTGGTGCAGGAATGAGCCCATCAGCTCCAACCCCCAGCTCTGCCACCACTGTGAGTTGAAGGTCCACCATTAGAAGTGAGGAGTCTGCTTCTACCCATGTAGACTCACCACATGGTGCAAAACCCTGATTTCTGCAAGTTCTGCAGCACTTGCGACACCTCCAGGAGCAGAGGAGGCTTCCCATGTCTCAAACTCCTGGAGGACAGCAAGGACCCCACCAAGACAACACGAGGAATTCCCTGATCAGAAATAAAAACTCCTGAAGAGGGCTAGAGTGTCACATTTGTTAAGGATCCCCCACAATGTAAAGCAAAGGTAAGGGAACATCTAATTTGGCCCAGGAGTCTGTCCCCCCCCCCCCAAATCACATGTGTTGTCAGTTGTGGGGCAGGTAAAAGGCAATGGCTGCAAAAAAGCAACCGGGAGCCTCAGAGTGTGCTCCAAACTTTTCCGTTGGCACCTTTTAAACTTGGTGCTAAATGCAAGCACCACGGGGACTGGTTTGGCCCAAGTGGAACCGGTCGCTGTGAAAAGCAGGCGTTGCCATCAGCTGACCAGCAGGGATCTTCCTCTGTAGTGGGTCTTGCATTCAAGGTGGGCTGCAAAAAGAAACACTTAATCCAGTGGTTTTCAACCGGTGTGCCATGGCACCCTGGGGTGCCTTGAGTGATGGTCAGGGGTGCTGTGGGCAACACTGGCCCCTGTCCCTCTTTCTTTCCTTCCCTCCCTCCTCTGATGCCCTCTCATGCTTCTTTTTCCATCAGGCCACTAAGGCTGGGGGGCATCATCTTCCCAGGCCCCTTGGCATGAGGAGGCACCTCTCTTTGGGGTGAGGCGGCAGCTCAGAGACCAGGGACAGTGGTAGCAGCTGCCCAGAGGACTCTTAAGGAGAGGAGAGGAGCCTGAGGGAATGCTCCGCAAGGGAGGGTGTTCAAAGAGGGGTGAGGAGCTGCTGGTTCTGCAGGCAAGAGCTAACGTAACTGGGCTCCTGAGCCCCACAGGGGTGCCAGAGAAAGAAAGTAGTTGGTCAAAGCACCATGGGCTCAAAAAGGTTGAAACCCTCTGTCTTAATCTAATGCAGGCATAGGCAAACTCGGCCCTCCAGATGTTTTGGGACTACAACTCCCATCATCCCTAGCTAACAGGACCAATGGTCAGGGATGATGGGAATTGTAGTCTCAAAATATCTGGAGGGCTGAGTGTGCCTATGCCTGATCTAATGCCATGGTAAAGCCAGGTGACTGACAGATGGGCAGCCCGGGCCATATGTAAAAAGTGGTCCAAAGATGGGGGGGACGTGTCAGGATCTTGCCCACCAGTCAGATCCAATTTCCTATACCTGACGTAGAACAAACCCCCACATAGAAAAACCTGCACAATGAAAAGTCTAGCACTTTCTCCCCTTGGCATCTAGTATTCTATACGAAGGGAAATTGTTTGCTGTTCACTATAAGAGGGCATTCAGTTATATGATCCCCATGATGTGGTCTGAAGTGAGTCAGTCTAAGAACAATTTTGCCATGTGATTTCTGTCAACTCGATCCTAGAGAGAAAGTACAAGGAATGTATGGGCATCAAAAGGAATGAGACTGAACATTGACTACAATTGATGAAGATTGCTAGGTGTTCTTTATTCTGAGGAACATCGATTTGTCTGGCTATATACTGGTAGTATTAGACAGGACATCTAGAGCTGGAAAATGTGTGGGAAAGGGTAGTGAAAATGATCAAGGGGTTAGTTAGAGCGCATTCCCTATGCAGGAGGGCTTTTATAAGAGAGATTTAGTTCATGATTGATGCTGTGCTATATGGCCCCTTGATCTAACCCCAAAAGTTCTTTCCACAGAATATAATGGAAACCCCACTCCTGAAAAGATTTGCCCGTGCTGGCCCAGGATTTGAGATTCGCTGGGGAGGCCTGCTCCTGGCCCCACCAACAGCAGAAGCCCATTGCATGGTGACACGAGGGCAGGGTCTTCTTTGTGATGGCCCCATTTCCTTCTACCTGTGAATTCCCCCCCCCCTGGAGGCGTGGTTGTTCCCCGCACTAACTCAGTTTCCGGCAGCATCTTCAGACACTTCTTTTCACTCAAGGCTTTGGGGAGAGGCTGATAGGTTTTAGGAACAGGTGAACTGTATTGGTGTGATGGTTGAAATACTGTTTTAAAGCAACAGCTGGGGTTTTAAATGGCTTTTGCTGGACTCGTTGTTTTTAATCACCTTTTGTAAACCACCTCTTTCAAAATTGAACAAATCAACCGCTTAAAGAAGCAAACTTTCAACCTTTGGAATGAATAAGTGACACCCCTGAATAACAACCTTCGGTAATAACACAGATGGAAGGAGAGAACGTGAGGAACTAAAGGAGGCTGGCTGACTTCTTAATCATTTGAAACCAGAGAGGCTGCGTTGTTGGCTGGTGCCCATTGGGAGTGGTAGGCCAAAGGCTGGGAACCTAACAGTAGGTGGCGCCAGAGTCAACTGTCCCCATCCTCCTCCCTGCTGAGTTCTACAAGGGCAACACTGAGATTAAGGAGGAAGGCAATCTGACAACCAGGGCCACTACCCTACCAGCAGGAAGGTGCAGGCTGGGTGAGGCAGGCTGAAAGGTTGGTGGGACAGTGCCCCACCAGAACAGATGAACCAGCCTCCACTGCAGAGGGGGAATGAGTATGGAACGGTATGAGCGAGGACTGTCTCAGGTGATGAAAGCCGGAGGGTTTCAGAAATGTTGAGAGCTGTGGTTTGCCAAAATCAGGTAAGGTGAGCAGCAATGGTTATAAGCAGGAGGTGGACATCTATGATGCAGCCATCTCAGAACAGGAAGCTACATATTCCAGGGGACCAGAAGAAGATCAAGAGCACTGGGGGAGCAGGTGAGGAAAGATGGCTGATTCCACAGTGCTTTTGGCTTGAGTTTTCTGGGATCAAATTGGATTACTGAAGGGGGGGGAGAAATCTGAAATGGACAAGGTTAGCAGGCCTCACTGAGATTTTTTGTTGTTGGAATTGCGCAACAACCTGTTTAAATTTTGGGTAAGTGGACATGGAAACTGGAAGGATTGGCCCGGCTTACTTTGAATGAAGGAGAGTGATGGCTAAGTGGAGAGGGGGAAATATGCAAATAGTGGATGCTGGAAGGATGCAGTTAGACAAGCTTCTGCCCAGGTGTGGGGGGCATTGGTGGACCCAGAAAAACTTGAGCGTATCATCATCATCATCATCATCACTTTTAATTTGTATACTGCCTTTCTATTTCACAATACTCAAGGCGGTATTGGTTAGATGATCCTAGGAGAAGATTAGGGGGCTTCAGAAACTTCAAGATCTGCTGCAGGATTATGCAGCACAAGGGATCCTGTTTCTCTTCCAGATTCGTGCTGGAATGCCAACTCCCATCCTCCTGGACCACTGGCCACGCTGGTTGGGGCTGATAGGAGTTGGAGTGCACAATTTTTGGAGGGCGCCTCTGATGGGAGTTGCTGGGGAAGGGAGTGCCAGAAGGTTTAAGGTAGGGGGCAGAGATCATGGGGGCGTCTTGGAAGTGTGTGTGAGTGTGTTCTGGGAGGTGGGGTGGATGGGGGGTGGGGAGGTCAGGCCGGCGGGGCGGAAATGGCAGTGGCGTCGGGCGCGTCACTCACCGGATCCCTCGGCCGTGACGATGGCCTCCGGGGAGATGCAGACGCCTCGGTCGTAGACGGGCAGCTCTTCGCAGGCCAGGCTTTCGGGCCACGCGTGGCCGTACTTGACGAGCACGGGCTCGCAGCCGGCGCGGGCCCTCTCGCAGACGGATTTGCAGGGCTTGATGGGCTCGTGCTGGAAGTCGATGGTGCAGATGGGCGCGTACATGGCGCACAGGAAGAAGAGCAGGTCGGCGCTGCAGTGGATGCCCAGCAAGCCCTCGAACTGCTCCATGGCCAGGATGGCGTTGGCCTGCGTGCTGTGGTGCAGGTGGTTGGGCATCTTGGTCATGTTCCAGGGCAACGACTTGCACAGCGGGATGCGCACCGGCTCGCACGACGCGCCCGCGGCCGGCGGCGGCGCCCAGCTCGCCAACAGCCCGCCTAGGGCGGCCAGCAAGGCGGGCGGCGGCAGCAGCAGCGCCACCATCGCCCTAGCCGAGGAGGAGCCCGACGGCGGAGACGTCCGCGGCGGCGCCCCCCTCCGGGGCAAGACCCTCGCGCCGCCGAGAGAGCTCTCCTTCCTGACCCTGCGCGGCGGAGGGACTCCTCCGGGGTCCGCCCCCTTCTCTCCCTCGGGGACCAGGTCGACCCCTCTTGCAAAAGTCCGGGTTGAGGTGGGGGGGGTGTGGAAATCGGAGGGAACTGGCTGGTACAAGGGGTGGGCGCTCCTCTTCTCTACATCGGGAAGGAAGGCGACTTTGGAGCGGCGCGCAGAGGGACTTGGAGACGTCGCCCAAGAAAAAGTTTTGGAGGAGAGAGAAATCGCGCTGCTGGTCGATCTCGGCTCGGGCTGCTGGCTGCACAGGCGAGACCGGCTTCGCTTGTGTGCGGCTGGTGGAAGCAGCCCCTTTTTCACTTTCCACCTCCTAGCCAAGGAGCCCCGGCTCCTCCTCTTTCTGCGCCGCGCGCTCCTGGTCCCACCCCTCTCCGCCGCCTCTCTGTTCTTTTGCAAGGGAGGAAAGAGGTTGTTGGGGGGTGGAAGACGAGAAGGAGCGAGGAACTGCATGACCTGAGGCTCGCATCCACTCCCATCAGTTATAAGTCACTGTTTGTCGTCTCCCACCCCTGGCTCTTCTGCTTATCCCCTTGGAAAGTTGCAGGCGCGCGCTCCTCTCCATCTGTTGCTTTCTCGTTTCTGCCTCCGGCTGCCAGAAAATAAAATAAAGGTGATCCTTGTGAAGGGATTGGCTCTCCGAGGTGGCGGACGGGACACCCACACCGTCGAAGGAGCATAAATCTAAAAGGCGGGGGGGGGGTGCAGAGAACAGGCTGGATTTCCAAAAACCATTTTTTAACTTTAAAAAGCAGCAGCGCGTGCTCGCGCGCGCTTTCCTTTCCCCATAAATATCCCTAAATGAAAAACAACGACGGCGAGGTGTTGATCTCCCATCTCTGCTTAAACAATCCTGTTTGAACTTTTTGTTTTCTTTCTCCAGCAACTGAAATAAAGGGAGCTCTCTCTCTCTTTCTGGCTTAAGTCTGCCGCAGCTGCCCTCTCTGCAAGAAAAGAGGCTTTTCATTGTCCTGGCTGTATCCCCGCTTCTCCGCCCCCCCCCAAAATATCTCTGGGAAAACTTGCTCCGCAGTGGCCAAAGGAAGCTCTTTCCACGTGGATCCAGATGCATTTAATCTAGGGGAGAAAATAGAAAGCAGATCTTCGCTCACCAGCAGCAATTCACCCCAGCCCACCCCCAGCCCTCTTTCCAGCTTCCAGCTAATCTCCTTTTCAGGGCATGGCAGAGAATGCAATGACCTAGGGGGGCACCAGTGTCCCGCTCCATGGCAGATACACACACACACACACACACACACCCGAGGCGGAGCGGTTGGGGGAGCAGTTTGAAACTATTCATCGGAGGGCGGCAAAACTCTCCGGGAGAGACAACATAACAGGAAATCACCTTTGCTCTCTCTCCCCTTAAAATATGCCTTTGTTTTCTGCCGGTTCTTTCTCTCCCAGCTGATCCGGCCCAGAGGAAACTGATACCCTCTGCTCTCCCTCTGCTGCGTCTTTCCCAAAGCGCCCACGATAATACACAGTGCTCATTGATTTGACTTGCAGGAAAAAGTTAGAAGGGGATGGAAGGATGGATAGATAGAAAAATGTAGATAGTTCTGCTTCCCTTGAGATGTGCAAGAGGAGTTCCTAGCTGCTGGCATGGGCATAGCGGGGGCGGGCAGCTGCCCCCCTAAATCAAGTAAATAAATAAAAATGCGTTTTGTTATTGATATTTTATTGAGCAATTTTCAATTATAAAGTGATACAAAGAGTGTGTAAAGGGAAAAAAATATATATGACTATATATAAAAAATATCCTAACCCATACATTCTTTATTATGTTATCATGTTATCAATCCACTGATTCAAGGAGATCATTTCTTTCTTCTTCCAGTTCCAGGCCTGATATTGATGAACTGGAACTGGAATAAATAAAAATACTTAACAAACTGACTATTTGCATTGCAGGTAACTCAGTTCTGTCCCCCAACATAAAGCCAGCCACTCCCCTAAAATAAATCCTGGCTACGCCCATGACTGCTGGTGGGGAAGATAATTAACAGGGACAAGGAAAATTAAGCTGCACCCTACATTGAAAGCTCTGTTACACCACTTTAACAGTCATGGCTTCCCCCAAAGCATCAAGGGGACTGTAGCTTGTTAAAGAGTACAGTTAGGAGATCCCCTCTTCCCAAGTCAGAGCTACAATTCCCAGAGTTCACAAGACTGAGTGTTCAGCCATTCTGAAAACTGTAGCTCTCTTAAGAGGAATAGGGCTCTCTTACAATTCCCATGACATGGGTGTTGAAGTAGCACAATAGTGCTTTAAAAGTTTGGGCAGATGTGGCCTTTAATATGTTGAATTAAATTACTGTGCTATTAATATATTAAATTGTATAAATTTGGGCACAAATAAGACAAGGTTTTTGTTGTTGTTTAAGGCATGCTGTTGTTTTTTAAGAGAAGACTCAGGTAGGCACTGCGTCAAGAACCATCTTTGAAGAGGCATACCGACAATCTCCTGTGTAAGAGACAAGGAGTCTCTTGCAATCCATAGTTTTTACTATGTGCTAGTATTTTTTTAAAATATTAATAATAACTGTTTTTAAAATGTATGTCCCAATTAATCCAAAGCACTTCTTTAGCTGATCAGAATGCTTTTTTGAGTGATTTCACCTCTTAATCAACTAAAAAAAGCGCCAGCCCTAACATTTACACATTCTGAAACCATTTTATATAAATCAGAGAGTGAAGCAGCATTCAAGCCCACAGATTTCAGAAGCCTTAAAGACGCTTTACATTGAGGGAGTTATATTGCTTTAAATGGACCTAGCTGATCTAATCATGGCTAGCGTTCAGTTTGCAGAGACCCTTGGTAAAATAAGCTTTGGTGTGTGTTGCAGGTGAGTCTTTGTCAGATTTCTTAGAGGTAGCAGACAACACCGGTGCTCTGAACAGCACAGGACAGCAGGGTCTGGAAGCTGCTCTTGAAATTTTCCATAATGCCCCCATGTGGTGTCACACCAGTGCATTGTGGGAATATCTTTGAGCAAGTGTCAGTAGTGGGACCCAGGTGGTGTCTTGCTTATTATGGGCCTGGATGTGGTATTTTTCAGTCTTGTTTTGAAGGGATGAGATTGGCTTTATCTTCCCTTCACAAGCTTTCTGTGTTGCTTTCTGTATTCCACCTCTCTATCTGCCAAGACTGCAAGCCTGGTTTCCAATTAAAGACTTACTGTGGGTTTTGCAGAGAACTTACGGCAAGTGGGAAGAAGACAGGACTGCAAGAAATCTGTCTGCGAATCCATTACAGATCTGCTAATACAAATGGTTGTAAAAACTCACCCCAGGCTGACACTTGACAGGAATGTTTAAATCACAGCCCCGAAGAGAATGTTTTACTGGGATTCAACTTCTACAAACATCTGTTGATTTTGTGTGTGCGCGCGTGCGAAAACCAAACAGCCATCCCATCCCACATCAACAGCAAATCAGATGGGCATGTTATAGTTTGATATTATCCAAGGTTGTTTTTGAGGAGATGCAAGTTCACTGCCATCAAGTTCATGGTTGCTCCAGGATTTTTATCAGGCTCTGGATGTTAGCTAGTAAAGCTTTTCTGCTTTGCAATGCAGTAACAGTGTTGCCATATTTACAAAGTGTTTTTACATATCTGAATATGAAGGGAATGGCCATAGAGCACATGTGAGATACCTAGTTATCTCCCACTTGGACTACTGTGATGCGCTTTATGTGGGGCTACCTTTGAAGGTGACCCAGAAACTACAATTAATCCAGAATGTGACAACTAGACTGGTGACTGGGAGTGGCCACCGAGCCCATATAACACCGGTCCTGAAAGACCTATATTGGCTCCCAGGATGTTTCTGAGCACAATTAAGTGTTGGTGCTGACCTTTAAAGCCCTAACGGCCACAGCCCAGTGTACCTGAAGGAGCGTCTCCAGCCCCATCATTCAGCCTGGACACTGAGGTCCAGCTCCGAGGGCCTTCCAGTGGTTCTCTCACTGTGAGAAGTGAGGTTTCAGGGAACCAGGCAGAGGGCTTTCTTGCTAGTGGTGCCTGCCCTCCCATCAGATTTCAAGGAAATAAACAGCTATCTCTATCTGACTTTTAGAAGACATCTGAAGGCAGCCCTATTTAGGGAAGTTTAATTTCATGTTTTATGTTTTATGATGTTTTTAATACTTTGTTGGGAGCCACGCAGAGTGTCTGGGGAAACCCAGCCAGATGAGCAGGGTATAAATAATATGATGATGATGATGTTGCTGTTGTTGTTATGTCTGATCTACAACCACCATCAATGATTAGGTCCTGCCTTCCACGTCCTTCCACCACCATTCATGGACACCTCAGTTAGGTGTGCGCATGTCCCAACAAGGTGGGGACAGAGGTAGGTACAGGTGAGTGTGTTTGCAAACTTCCAAACTTTGCACGTCTGGAATGTGTGGCCTACTGTATAAAGGTAAGACTTAGATCCCTTGTTTCCCCAACTTTTGCCTGTGGCTCCACACCAAAAAAATTCCATTTGGCCCTCAAAGCATTGCCCATGGGAGAATGTTGGCTGGAAAAGGTTCTCCATTCCTGGTATATGGTTATGTCCTTAAAACTTACTCTGGAGTTGCACCTACACCAGATGAAATTCCTCAGGCTTACACACACACAAAAAAGTATATTGGCTTCTAAATTGTGGTTAAATGGCTCTTTTCACCATGTAGATCAGCTCCTCGTGTATACTTAACCAATCTGTTTACCTTAGCCCCACAGTAAGTGCTTTCTACTAGCAGTGCAGAGTCAACACAGCTTAGGGACAGTGTCAATTTGTACTCTGGCTAACACCTCAGCAGTTTCTAAACAAACTTCAGCTCACCTTAATTATCTGTGGCTAGTACAGCAAGATAATTAATTCGACTTCGCCAGATGGTTATCTGTCTGCCGTGATACTGCAGTAAAAATCGCTTTTCTCAATTTGTCAATGATTCAACACAACGTGAGAACTGAGCAAAATTTTGCAGTATGTCTATTTGTAGAATTGCATTTCTCCATTTCCAGTAAAGTGGTACCTCGGGTTAAGAACTTAATTCGTTCTGGAGGTCTGTTCTTAACCTGAAACTGTTCTTAACCTGAGGTACCACTTTAGCTAATGGGGCCTCCTGCTGCCGCTGCATGATTTCTGTTCTCATCCTGAAGCAAAGATCTGAACCCGAGGTACTATTTCTGGGTTACTGGAGTCTATAACCTGAAGCGTCTGTAACCTGAGGTACCACTGTAATATGTAGGCTCTTCACAGTCACCCACCTAAGG